GACGAATAATGCTGGTTGTGCCGATGCAGTGACTGGTCATCGCAATCGCCATTTGGTCATCTGGTGAGATTATCTCTGTGGTTGGGGGCAGCTAAATGAGGTACATTGCTCTTAACCTTATCTTCCCTCTCCGACACTTCTTACCGTGAGGTTGTGTGTTCCTTCTTGAGAGTCCTCTCATCATGAGGTGTCGAGTGCGCTCAACCTTGAGAGTCGACAATGTTCTTGTGGAGCATCTGGGTGGAGATGGGCGAAGCTTTCTGAAGGGCCCTGGACGAAGCACTAGGTCACGGTCACCATGCCAACCCACAGGGAGTAGAGCACGCATGCCTAAGCTGCTTGTCCTTTGTTCGGCTTGCTGCGTTGTTAGATGGGCACTACTAGGCAGGCCAGCCCTACTGGAAAGACGAGCACCCGGCGTCTATAAATAAACACGGGAAGGGGAACCATTGACTGTGATCGTCGTCCGGCTGCGACGTAAAATAATTCCTGGAGTCACTTGGGGGCGGGCGTTGGGTTGCCCCTGGATTAGTCAATGGTTGGAAGGCTCGCGGCACGCCGAGGATAAATATACGTGCAAGGCTGGTCGTCTCAGTGGATACTCGGGGCACAGGGGTGGGCCGGACACACACCTTTAGACACACATTGCCCTCCAGACTGCTAAGGGACGCTGACGTCAAGAGATACTCAGGGGAATTAAGGGAAGGGTTGATTCCAGGTGACAAGTTCGAGAAAATTCCATGTTGTGCTATACACACAAGTGATTCTATTTTTATGTTTTGATTAGTTAGATGGACTGCCATTGACATCTGACAGACAGCATTAGTTAGAACTGTTGATTGTTCCTGATGTTTCTGTTCGCGGGCTAGTCATACTAAAATTAGTTTCAGTTGTAGGAATCTGACTTACCTGTTGACCTCAAGTGATATCTGCTCCGAAATAGCCACCAATTAGTTAGTTGGTCCGTGCACTATGCTGTGGTAGACATCTTGAATGTTCTAGTGTAGACAGTGCACAGCGCTGTAGCCTATGAGCGACGAGGAGAACACCGGAGAGGACGATCGCAAGACCTTGCGATCAGCTAGGGGCCCGGTAGCCCACGTGTCTTTAGGACCGGAGGGTGATAGACATCTGTTCCGCCAGCAGAGGGAGAGACAGCGGGCACAGAGGAGGGCTAGAGCAGCCGAGGCCAGCAGGACTCTAATTAGCGAGGCCGGTGCTCCAGCAGCCATGGCCACTACAACCATGTTCACTTCTGCGCAGCGGACTTCCCAAGCCGGTAGTTCAGGTGCCGTCGGGTCAACGGTCGCGCAGACCGTGAGTCAGTCCACTGGCTTAATGGCAAGCCAGGCAGCGGTGTTGACTCCAGAGGTCCAGCAGGCAGCCCTGCAGGAGGCACAGCTACAACGGGCATTAGGGGAGATAAAAGCGGAAAAAGAAAAGATGATCGGGAGAAGAGCAGGATGCAGTGAAGAGGGGCAGACATAGAGGAGTTAGAGACGATGGACCTAACCAATATGGATGATGATGTGAGGGTAGTTAGGAGGGCCCTGCTAGGCGTTATAGAGATGCAGGAGCATCAAATTACCATCCTTCAGGACATTCAACTGAGCCTGGCCGTTTTGTCAGGCCGTGCTCAGGCGCCACCATCACCAGTCGGGCCTGGTGCCTGGCCTGTGCCATATCCTCCCTTCTCTGTCCCACCGGTGACTGGGGTATCCCCATATGTAGCCCCATCAACGGTTGCTATCGTTTCCCTGGGCATGCCGCTGTCAGGAGGGGTAACAACAAGGAGTAGTTTACAGGTTCCTGTACAGACAGTGTTCACTCAAAGTCCGTTGCAGGTTGCAGTCACCACGCAGCCTGCTGTCTCGCAGCCTGTGCAGCCTCAGGGCACGCAGCCCCGGCAGTTAGCACAACAACCTGTGTCACCGGGTCCACAGCCCGGAGTGATGCAAGGACCGGGACAAACTCAGTGGGTTCCGAAGACGGCCATCGCCGCTCTCAAACCTTTTACAGGGGATAAGAGGGGCGAAGACCTCGACACATGGTTGAGGGCAGTGCCGGTCTACGTCAGGTGCAAACTCACTTTGCCGCACGAAGAAGTGCTTGTGGCTGCCTCCTACCTCGAGGGTAGTGCAGCGAGATGGTTGAGCGGTCTAGTGCAACTTCAGGGATATGGTCATGACTTCCGCGCTTGGGCGGCCTCCCAAAAATTGGAGGACTTCCTGAAGATGGTGGAAGAGAGGTGGCATGATCCTCAGGAGACCCAAAGGGCCACTGACGCGATCCAGACACTGCACACGCGGCAGTGTAAGTCAGTAAGGGAAGCCACCGACGCTGTTGAGCGTCTGATCTGTGTCCCTGGGGTGCGCTATGATCCCCAGGTCCTGTTGACTTCGTACCTAAGATGCTTTTCTCAGCCTTTCAGGAACCAGTTGGCAAAAGAGGCCAACATCAATATGCACAACTTCCCTTCGTTTAGCAAGGTGGCCCTAGACCTGGAAGCAAAGATAGGGCATGGAMAGGCACCCACTAGGGATGGGAGAAAGAAGACACTGCCTCCCAACTGGAAGGCGAAGGGTCGCCTAATGTTTGTCGACAACGATGGTTCAACCATCGAGTTGGACGGCAACCTCCAGGAGGGAGTAGGTTCAGAGGCAGGCAACTTAGATGCTTCAGAGGGTGGAGTGGTCGTTGTCGTAGCACAAAATGGTAAGGCGACCGGTAGACGTCGCGGAGGCTCCCGGTCTAGGAGTCAAGTTGACCACAACGCTCCTCCTTGGGAGAAAGCGGGTCTCACGGAGGACGTGTGGAGAGACCGTTACTCTCGGCAGGCCAGTATTCGTTGTGGTCAATATGGCCACAGCCAATTCAAGTGCCGCAACAAGAAGGTAACCGAAAAGATCCCGCCTACGATGGGGCAGGTGTTAGGATCCTCTCAACCCGTTGGAAGCAACATTGCTAGTACTTCTGGCAGTGCTCCGGGAAACACGTCGGGCCAGTAGGAATTGTAGTTGTTCCTGATAGGGTCGAGGTGGTGGAGACGCCCTCACCATCTCGAGAGATGGCCCAAGCTACTGACTCCAGCGTCGTCCCGCAAGCACATTCAGACCCATCGAGCCTCTGTTCAATGAATGTGTTTGAGTCCTTAGAGGAGCTAGAGGTAGAGTGGTCTAGATCGGACCCGCTAGCTTCTTGGGCGGCACTAGTCAAAGCCCCAAAGGGTGAGATGTTCGTCAGCGAGGTAGTCATTGGCGGCCACGAGGCCGGGGCCTATTATGACACTTGCTCGACGCGGAACTTTATTAGTCGCGCGTGCGTTGAGAGACTGCGCGTACAGGGGCGAGTGCAGCGCCTGAGTCGACTTGTGGAGTCGACCTATGCCAACAAACAGCGCATGGTAGTTAACGACTACCTCCAGGATGGAGAGTGTTGTTTCCCGTAAGCGGGAGGGGACTTGAGACATCGTGTCTCGTTCCTAGTGAGCGATGAACTCCCCATGGACATGCTGTTAGGTATGTACTACCTCTCTGTGGCACAGCCCCAGTTTGACTGGGACCGAAAAGTGGTCAAACACATCTTGCCAGGTGGAGGGACCACCAGATTACACAAGTTCAAAGCTAGTAGTCTGATTGAGTCCTACGGGTGCATGTGTGCGGCCGTGTTCTGTAATTATTATAAGCAAAATCAGGAGGAGGGTATGTACTTAGTTTGTCTCTGCTTCAGGCGAGCCGGTGAAAATGTCGTCGGAGATAGAGGGAGTAGTTGCTAAATACCATGATCTGTTTGAAGAGCCGACAAGGGTTGTTGAGAGGGAGGTCGTCCACGCGATAGAGATTATCCCAGGATCTAGTATTCTGAAGGGTAGGATCTATCGGATGTCTCCAGGCGAGCTTGATGAGCTTCGCCGCCAACTTAGGAACTCGTAGAGAAGGGTTGGATCCGGCCGAGTGTCTCTCCTTATGGGGTCTCCAGTTCTATTCGTACCTAAGAAGAAGGAGGGTACTCTTAGGATGTGCATTGACTATAGGGGCCTCAATGCCATCACGGTAAAGAACAGAGAGCCCCTACCGCGCATCGATGATTTGCTAGATAGAGTGCAAGGGTGTCGGTACTTCAGTAAGATAGATCTGAAGTCCGGGTACCATCAGATTGCAATCCGGCCCGAGGATCAACACAAAACGCCTTTCAGACCAGGTACGGTCTGTACGAGTTTGTGGTGATGCCTTTTGGCCTTTGCAATGCTCCTGACACCTTTCAGCAAGCTATGAATCGGATATTCCATGACTACTTGGATAAGTTTGTCATCGTGTACCTCGATGATATACTTATTTTCAGTAAAACTGTCGAGGAACATGTTGCACATCTGGACAAAGTTCTCGGTCTCCTGCGACAGCACAAGTTCAAGATCAACGGTGAGAAGTGCGAGTTTGGCCGCACCCGTGTCTTGACTGATCTGACCCGCCTTGACACCCCATGGGAGTGGACAGATAAGTGCGAGGCTGCTTTCAGACATCTGAAGCATGCGTTGACGCACTACGAAGTCTTGAAACTTCCTGATCCTGACAAGCCGTTCATAGTCACCACGGATGCCATCCAATATGGCATTGGCGCCGTGCTCGCGCAGCAGGAGGGGCAAAAGTTGAGGCTAGTAGAGTACATGTCCAAGAAAATGCCGTCTCAGAAGTTGGCTAAGTCCACTTATGAGAAGGAACTCTATGCGGTGTACAAGGCTCTCACCCATTGGAGACACTATCTCCTTGGGAGGTTCTTCATCCTCAGGACTGATCATCAGCCCCTGAGATGGATGAGAACTCAACCGGTACTCTCTGACGCTCTCAAGCGTTGGATCGAAGTTATTGAGCAATATGACTTTGACCCTCAGTATCTCAAAGGGGAGTACAACAAGGTTGCTGATGCCTTGTCGCGCAGACCGGACTTCTCAGGTGCGCTGATTACTGAGTTTGATCTGAGGGACAATGTTACTCGGTCTTTGGTGGAAGCCTATCGCGAGGACCAGTTTATGTCTGAGATCATACGCAGACTTGAGGCAAAGGATAAGAAGACTTCCGCCGAGTTTGAGTTGGTCAATGGCTTGCTGTTCCTAGAGAAGGCAGGGAATAAACGTTTGTGTGTTCCAAATAGCGAGTCTTTGCGTAGTTTGTTTTAGGCGAGTGTCATGATGCCACCGGCCATTTTGGGTATAAGAAGACCGCAGCCAACTTGCTGCAGCGGTTCTGGTGGCCCACGATGATGCGAGATGCACAGCTGTACGTGGAGACTTGTCAAGTTTGTCAACGGAACGAGCCACGTACTCAGGCTCCTCTTGGGCCTCTGAAGCCCCTTCCGATTCCGGAACAGTCTGGTGAGTCTGTCCATGGATTTCATGGATACTCTGATCACCAGCAAGAGTGGAATGCGTCACATCTTCGTCATCGTGGATAGATTTACTAAGTATGCTAGGTTAGTAGCCATGCCAGAAACAGCAAAGACGGAGTATGTGATTAGAATGTTTAAAGAGAACTGGGTCAGGGATGTCAGGTTTACCAGTGAGTTGTGGAAGGCCGCTGCTGCAGAGCAGGGCACTCAGTTGCAAATGACTTCTGGGAATCACCCAGAGGCTAACAGCCAGGCTGAGCAACTGAACCGCGCTGTACAACACCTGTTGAGGCATTACATCAAGCCCAACCAGGTGGACTGCGATGAGAAGCTTGCTCTCATCGCCAGTCTGTATAACAATGCGATACACAGTGCCACTGGCGTGAGCCCGAACAGTCTATTACTGACTTTCAAACCTAGACTACCTCTTGACTTTCTCCTACCTGAGAATGAATCAACTGCTGCACCGGGTACGTTAGAGTTTGCCTACAGATATGAACAGAAAATGCAGCAAGTGGTATAACAGATGCAGAAGGCACAGGCAGCGATGATAGAGTCCGAAAACAGACACCGCCGCCCTTCTACATTTCAGATTGGGGATAGAGTCTGGGTTAAGTCTTCAGAACTGGGACAGGAGTACGGGATATCCCGCAAACTCATGCCTCAGTACTTTGGACCTTGGGAAGTCTTGGACATCGTCGGGACAGATCCGGATGGGCCATCATATGTTATCCGGATTCCTGGTCATCTTCGTACTCACCCTGTCTTTCACGCCTCCAAGCTGGCACCTTTCAAAGAAACTGACCAGTTTCCATCTCGTCGCTTAATGCTGCCCTCAACCATGGACGGAGAGGTGGACATTGATGACATTGTGGATCACAGAGAGCTTTCGGTATCAAGACCAGCAGGCAGGGGATGTCCTCCAAAGCCGAAGCTGCAGTACCGCGTTCGGTTCCGACATCACACTGATTCAAAGGAGGACCGCTGGTTCACCAGGGAAGAGCTCATGCAGACCGCTCCTCAAGTTGTAACTCAATATGAGAGATCTCTGCAGAAGGGAAAGCGCCCTATGATCGAAGATTGAGCTTCTCAGAGGACTGTTGAAGCTAAGGAGGAGGGAATGCGAGGCCACTGCCTCTAAGAGCCACATAAGGCCCCATTTTGCAGCCCGTTGGCCGCCCTAAGTGAAGGCAGGCTCGACGAGGCCCTTAGGGCCCTTTTTCTGGCCACCACGCAACTAAGGGAAATTCAGGCAGTTGCGCAGCGCC